TCTGGAGGCAGCAAATAGATGGACAAAACAACGGTCAGTGATCCACACAGGTACGTAATATTTTGTCTTGACATTTTTTACCAAATATTCATATCTTGTCACTTGACAGTTTTTACAAAATATTCATATCTTGTCACTTGACAGTTTTTACAAAATATTCATATCTTGTCACTTGACAGTTTTTACCAAATATTCATATCTTGTCACTTGACAGTTTTTACCAAATATTCATATCTTGTCACTTGACAGTTTTTACAAAATATTCATATCTTGTCACTTGACAGTTTTTACCAAATATTCATATCTTGTCACTTGACAGTTTTTCCAAAATATTCATATTTTGTCACTTGACAGTTTTTACAAAATATTCATATCTTGTCACTTGACAGTTTTTACAAAATATTCATATCTTGTCACTTGACAGTTTTTCCAAAATATTCATATCTTGTCACTTGACAGTTTTTACCAAATATTCATATCTTGTCACTTGACAGTTTTTACAAAATATTCATATCTTGTCACTTGACAGTTTTTACCAAATATTCATATCTTGTCACTTGACAGTTTTTACCAAATATTCATATCTTGTCACTTGGCAGTTTTTACCAAATATTCATATCTTGTCACTTGACAGTTTTTACCAAATATTCATATCTTGTCACTTGACAGTTTTTACCAAATATTCATATCTTGTCACTTGACAGTTTTTACCAAATATTCATATCTTGTCACTTGACAGTTTTTACAAAATATTCATATCTTGTCACTTGACAGTTTTTACAAAATATTCATATCTTGTCACTTGACAGTTTTTACAAAATATTCATATCTTGTCACTTGACAGACTGCAAAGGAATAAACAAATTGACCAATCAACTTGTTTTACTCTGTATTTCCAAATTTATTTTTAAACTTCCATTGAGTAGTACGCATAAGTGTGTTTTGTTGTTTTTTTAATCACTTTGTTTTCAACGTAAGCTGAAGCTTCTATGTAGTTTCATTTTTGGGGGAGGGGGGGGGGGTATACTTGCCCATAAAAATGAAAATTGTTCGAATCCAGGATTTAATGAAAACAACCCAGGAAAATATGAGTAGAAAAAAGTTCCCATTCAAAGTCAGTATTTCCTGGTTTTGACATGAGAATTTTAACAACAAGCGCACTTATTATGCTGACGTTCTCACTTTTACACCTGCAGTTACATTCGTATGCACTGCATATATCAACTGTTCAGCACGACTCTTACCAACACGATATTTAGAATATTTACTTCACATTTGTTCTGAACTCTTTCGATTTTGACCGGGTACTATCACCAATTATGTCTTTTAAACCCTTCCTATGTCTTAATATCGAGCTAAAATAAAATGTTGGAGTTTCAGAAGAGATTACTCCAACAATGAATTTGTTAATCATTGGGAGGGGGGAGGGGGGGAGAAAAATGGAGAAACGATTTTGAACTAATGTTAATAATGATAACAACAACAACAATAACAACAACAATAATAACAACAATAATGATAATAATAATATTATTATAATAATAATAATAATAATAATAATAATAATAATAATAATAATAATAATAATAATAATAATAATAGCGCTCAACCCCCATTAAAGACCACCGTCTCTGAACTCTTCACAAATACTAATAGTATCACATGAACAGTACATTGTGTTCTGACTAAACATCTATATCTCGCTGATCTTAAAACACAACTGGCTTTAGCTGACACTTGAATAAATTAAAAGATTTGATCTCTCCTAAACTACCAGGCAAAGCGTTTCAAATCTAAGGACCATGACATGCAAATCCCCTTTCACCCATAGATGGTAAAAGTTGTTGTTTTTTTGCCAGCTGATGGCCTTACACTGCGAGTTGGAATGTGTAGTTTCAACAGACTTGATAGATATCATGGGTCATTATCATTCCAGCATTTGTGATATTGAGTGCTCAACTTGCGCGTAACTCTTTTTCTCAACAGGAAATCAATGGGTGTCTGTGAAAGATGTAGCAGAGTCTTGCCTTCGTTTCTGTAAAGCTAAACGGGCAGCATTGTCTTGAACAGTCTGAAGTCTGTTCACTTTTCTCCAGCGATATTCCTGACAGGAAGAAGTACAGGACCAAAACCAGCTAAAGACGGTCCCGGATATTTCAAAAGACACTTCCAACCGCAGCAATAGAATATGACGATCAGATGTATCAAAAGCTGCTGATAAATCTAAAAGGCACAGCAAAACAACTCTCCTGAATCACATTCAGCAGCATGTCATTCGTGATTTTAAGGAAGGCTATTGCTGTGCTGTGGTTGGTTCGGTAGGCTGGAATGGCTCTAGTGGATTATTCACTTGTAATTAAGTGGTGACAAAGCTGTTTGAGGAAGACATTTTCAAGTGTTTTCCTTTTGTTTGTTTTTTGTGGGGGGTTCTTTATTATTTTTCTTGACCTTTCTGCCACCACTCACTGTCCATCAAGCTGCTCAGCAACTTCGGAGGTACACTTGATACAATTTTTATTTGTCCCAAAAGGTATTTGTAAAAATTAATCTTAGTCCTCAGTTCGAAATTTACTTGACCTACAACGCAATTTCAGGATCTCCACTCCGAGGGAGGGGGGGGGGAGTGAGACTTCGAGTTTCGGTAACGCCATGCATCGAAGATGGTTCAAATTATTCTAAGGGGGAGGAGGTCAGAATCTACTTTTACTATCCATCGCAGTAAAGCGCACGCACGCTTTCTCCTGACATAAGTCGCGCTGCCATTTCATAGACAACACCATTCGGATTTCTTGGCAAAGGAAATAAGTCGAATATAACTAGTGTTATAAACCATCGCATCCAACGTCAATCAAACGATTTTATTTGAAATGCCTTTTACTAAAAGGTGTTCTGACTGAAGCTAGTTACCGTATGGAATTCCCCTTTTTAGAATGCAAATTGAAACTCCACTTTATTGTTAACACCTCGAGGGTAACATAGTATACATAATATAAATATCATGCATCTACTTTTAAACTTCATAAAATTGTGAAAGATTTTGCCCCAAACAATCAACTACAAAATTTACAAAACACCACATGTCACCGTTTTACATAACTATCTGTTTTAATTATAGTGTCTTAGCTTGACACCCGTTTCAGATTTTTTAAACTTATAGGCAAAAAGTAATATAATATGATACACTGGTGACTTCCTGAGATTGAGTGTCCTTGTAATCTGCATTCCTACTTTGTTTGTGCCCTTCATCAACGTTTTTCAGCAAATTCCACACAAAAATGTGTTTTTGAAGGCGTTGGTCTCAGAATAAACAATTCTTTAAAAATTGCTAAATGGATAGAAAAATGTATGTTTCTCCCATTCCTTTACTTTGACGAGCGCCTGATTTCACCACGGGGCCACACGTATTCCTGTTTAAAGAAATGAAGTGGTATAATTACGCCACCTTCGCACAGAGTTGAACGAGAATGATTACGGTTGCAACAACTGTTCTGTTTGATATCAGCAGTAAAAGATGAATGATTATTGTAGATCGTTTTTTCAGATTGATTTGTTAAAAATCAAATTAAAATTGTGTATTCTTCAGCAACGCCTGCATTTTCTCCGAAATGTTTCTGTTCTTGACTGATATATTGATGCTATAAACAAAATGCCTGTCCGTCTTTCAACTATACGACTACGGCACCTCGTTCCGTTCGTTTCGTAAAAACAGTAATCCTCCTGTTTTGTGTGAGAACTAAAGTACCTCGTGACAAAAAGACGCAAACCTCGACATCTATGAGTTGCACTCATGCATACTGCTGAAATGTATCATTTTAAAAGACAATAATCCAGTGGAATAATACCCCTACCCCCGTTCCTGATCTCTCTGACCCTCCTGTCTGTCTGTCTGTGTGCCTGTCTATCTGTGTGTCTGTCTATCTGTCTGCCTGTCTATCTGTCTGTATTTTTGTCTCTGTCTCTCTGTCCCTCTGTCAGTCTATCTCTCTTTCTTTCTTTCTCTCTCTCTTTATCTATCTATCTATCCATCTCTCTCCCCCCCCTCTCTCTCTCTCTCCCTCCCTCTCTCTCTACCCCCCTCTCTCTCCCTCCCTCCGCTCTCTCTACCCCCCTCTCTCTCCCTCCCTTCCCTTCTCTCTACCTCTCTCTCTCACTCTCACTCTCACTCTCTCTCTTTGTGTATGTGTATGTGGTGTGTGTGTGTGTGTGTGTGTGTGTGTGAATTAATTGGGAAGTCCTTGAGGACTGATAAGTGCTCAAAGGTGAGCTAGGTTGTCCTGCCCTTATAATCTTTTTTTCCCTTTAGATATGTATCGCCTTGAATAAAATTCTCTTTTAAGCCCTTTCAGAAACAAAAAGACTTAATTTGAAACAACGACTGAATTCTGATGAAGCAATGCAAACTTGGTAGGCAGGCCTGTAATATTGTTTTCATTTTTTTTAAACGCCAAAGGCCACAATAAACTACCATTGACATTTCATGGGCCTTTGGTGTAAGATTTTTTCCTTTCCCGTTTCTCTCTCTCTCTCTCTCTCTCTCTCTCTCTCTCTCTCTCTCTCTCTCTCTCACACACACACACACACACACACACACACACACATACACACACTCACGTTCCTTTCTTTATCGCTTTCTATCTCTCCTTTGTTCTCTTCCTACCCATCGCATACCTCATTAGTGCATTCTCGGTTGTAAATGTGTATATACGTGTGTGTGTCTGTGTGTCTGTATCTGTGCGTGCGTGCGTGCGTGTGTGCGTGAGTGTGTTTCTATCTGTCTGCCTGCGAGCGCGCAAACGGCCCTACTCTCTAGCACCCTGTTCTGTTTTTATCAATCACAACGATGAGACATAAAGATAATATTCAAATTACATACAATGGAGCAAGGAACGCTTGGATCAAGGCTGCACTACCCCCCTCCCCAACCCCCTCCGCCAGTCTGCTCCAAGGCCTGGCTCATGGGCCAAACGAAATAAAAAGGCCTTGCTCATTCTTAGCAAGCGCTCATTCTTCATCGCCTGCTGTGGTCGTACGCAACTCATCACTCGCTCTCTCCTCGTCGACAGGGTAAGGATGCCATTGAAAATATAGGACGAAACAAATAATATTTTCTCACAATGCATTAACATCGACAAAGAAACCCAACGTAAATGTACGCACAGAAAAGGGTAGTGATTTTTACGCGTTGGAATAACATTATGCGTATGTTGTCGATTATTTTCGTGTCTTAGCACCCCTATTTTTGTTTTTCATTATTGGGTCTCAGTACTTTTCCCAAAAGAAAGAAATACGTTAAAAAGTAAACTTTTCTTTGCTATTAATACTGGTAGCCTCATAGTTATATTAAACAGAAATTGCTACGAAACATTTAAAATGAAATACATCAATATGCAGTAGAACTATTACAAACTGTTAATCAGTTTGACTAAAATTGAATTCTGTCCTTTCTCAACAACGGTTTTCTAACGAATCCCACATCTTAAAATTATGTTCCAAATCAAAACTTACCGTACTATAATGATTGGGCAAATTTAGCAGCCAGCCCTCATAGAAATATTTTAATTTTTTAGAAAGTAATATACTCAAGAGAGGTAACTGAGCCCTATACGTGTTGAAGTTCTAATTGATGGTTTCAACTGATTTTTCAAAAATTGAGGCGTGAAACTTGATTTTACTGACATTGTCAATGAATGAGAGGCGGTAGAAACGAGAAAACATTCAAGAGGGTTGAAAGATTTGAAAGGTACCAGCTCTTTTGTCTTTATTTTGAAGTGAAATTAAAAATTGCCAAACATGACCATTTTGTTTGTGTTAGATTAGGAGCGTAGATGTTGCTTTACTCTGTTCGCTCGTTTAAACAAAAATGCTATCTATTGAAACATCGTAACTATTTGATCTAAAAGATAGTAACATGTTCTTGCTATGTAGTCCCGTCTGTATAGATATAACCTGCTGTGACTTAACGAGTCCCTTACCAGAGGGCTGAACTGTAAAAGAATTAAATCTTGACCCGTTTCCATAAGTTGTTTTTTGATTGTTAGTTGGTTTTTCTTTTTTTCTTTTTTTTTGGGGGGGGTGTGGGGGGGGATAAGCCGACGAAAATATCAGCTAAAAAATCATGTAGATATTTCTTACAGGCTTTCTAACAATTCTAGACATTAATGAACACAAGTAGGACAATGCAATTTTTAAAAAATATTATATGCACCCATCAGGAATATATATTTTCTTCTGAAATAAACTTAAGAAAAAAATTAAATTAACAAATTATTGAAACAAAATACTCCTGATGTATATTGGCTATGCATCAAACAAAGTATTACTACATTGTACTCAATAATGCTGGGGAAAGAGGCGTTTTCTAGTGAATTTGAGAGAATTCCTTTATTGGTGAATTCTTCCCATTTTTCTAAAATAAAAATCTAAACAATTTCATATTTTCAAAATGTTTCTGTTATAATGGCCTCGTGTTTAATTTTAAGAACTGCTTAGGGAAAAAGACAAGATAACCGTAACGTTGTGGTAAATTTCGAACTCAATTTACCTAACGAAAGTTTAACTCTTTAAGGACGAGTCAGACACATTTGTACGACCAAAAACAGATCGAAGTCAATGTTGTGGCACACTTTTAGTCCACATACATACACCACAAACACAACACTGGACAATACATAGTAATATAAATGTTGTTCCTTGCCTTTGTAAGTTTCAGAAAAAGAAAACTGAACTGGAAAATGTGCATGGATATAACTAAAGTTAAGTTTTTTACAAGCTTTCGAATGAGCAGGATTTGCGTCTTCAATGAGTTAAGAGAGATTGCGGGCTCAGAGGTTCGATGTTCACGAATTTATCCTTTTGGCTCGGTCCTGTTGGAGATGGACCTTTGAGTCCAAGGTTCCACCATACAGTGTTGCAAGGAGCAATAAGCCTATACTTTTTCGCACGCTCTCGAAAAAGATTTGCTTCAAAGCGAGTATTCCCGTCCCGGGCGCAACCGGTGGCAGAGTATACTCGTCTACAGTCACGTAGATTTCGTTTCTAAATTCATAATTAATTCCTACCAAAACTGAAAACACTCCAGCAAGTAATAAAAACTGTATAGTACGACAGAAACTGGAGAGTGGCTGCGTAACCTGAAGGAAATGGGACTTTTGAGTAGGACAAATGGTTACATTCGTAAAAATCAGTTGCGCTGCAGCTTATAGAACCAGTAACCCACTTCTCCTGAGAACCAGCAGAGAAGGAAAAATAATAGTTAGATACACCCTTATAGCTTTTTTTAAAAATCCCAAATGTGCTGATGAAGTCTCTCCTTTGTAGCATATCAAGGAAGTCAGATCAGAAGGAAGGGAAGTAGTTCTTGGGCAGTTTGCTCCCTAATGCCTACCACCCTGGCAAAGCTGTATCATGCATATTTCTGCTTGAACATCCTCCATCAAGACGCAAAAGGCCATCAGTTTACTGTGCGTTAGCTCATAGAGCAACAGTTCACTTTTTCATGGCGCAGATAACAGTTAACTACATTAGAATCACAAAACTATATCAACTATTAAGATCATTTTAAGTAACTAAGACCATGAGGTCGGAAACCAATTTCTGCTCTACCAAAATCGTAAGATTATTCAGAGTCGTTATCAAGATATTCAAAGAATTGCATTCGAAAAGCTTGACCTTATTGTAAAACTCAAAAGCTTCAACTTCAATGTCTCAAAACTAGGTACTGAGCTCATAGAACTTTGTAATTCTATGGTAGCGAATTATATTTTAAGAAGGCGTTTTTACGTCTACATCGACCCAATTTAGATTGTCTAGGAGGGTGGCTGCTTTTAGGGCCAAAACAGTCTGAGAGGGAAACAGCGTCCCAGTGGAAAGATCAAGATATTCGATAAACAAATTCTTCCAACACAGAAATAAAAAAGGTCTTCTGCATGCGATGACGAGGCTCCATCTAACCGCTCAGCCATAGATGCCGTTAGGAGCACGTGAGGACAACAGTAACACAAAAGTTATTGGTGAGGCAGCATGGTGAAATCAGGCCCTCGTAATTTTTTGGGCATGTAGAGTTATTGGTATGGCCTTAAAGCTTGTTCACCTGTCTTTATTTGGAGGAAAAAGGTATCCATTTATCTTGAATACAAGTCGAAATATTTACGAAAGAAGGAGGTGAGGGTCACCTGTTTCCAGAGGTAATATTAATGAGAAAATGGCCGCCACGGGTTAGTTATTTCCTTAGCTAAAGAGTCCGCGGTAACTGAAAATTTACATTTTCTGTTTCTTTAATCAACGTTGTAAAAAAAATCCAAACAGAAATGAGTTCTTTAATGGGCATGAAAGGTGTTGAGCCAAAAAACAAAAATTTAATAAAATTTATAAACCTGCGGAAAAATGCAAGTTTCTTCATTTTGATTATTTTGACGAGAGTCTGATTCCACTACGCTGTCTCTCTGAACTGGCAGGTCGGCGTCCGGGTGGGTTGGGGGGTTGGTTCTTAAGCAAACGAGGGCTCGACTCTCGTATAAGGAAGACAATATATTACGTATCTCTGTCTATCTCCAGAGATTTTTCACCCCACTCAGACCGGGTCACGGTGACAGGCAGGGTTGAAAAAGTCTGCTTTCTTGGGGTAAAAAAAAGTACAATATTACAGTACTGAAAGAACAGATCACAATATTTGAGCATCCTCAGACTCCTTGCGTACTACACAGAACCTGGCGCGAGAGGAGGTAGCTCAAAGAAAACGGTAGTAAAACAGAAGATATTTATCAAGAAAAAAACAACAATTATTTATGCCCGTGGGAACATGTGCTACACAATGACAGGGATATTAATCATTTTTACAACACAAGCGAAAACAATGGCGCACACTGCTGGTCGCCTCGAGGCAGCGTCCTATTTACGGGTTAAGACTAACGGATTTAGCACAAAGGCACACTCCATCGTGCGTTCACGCCTAATGCCGTGTCAGCAACACTGCTTATCATCAATAGTTGTGAAATTGAACTAGCTAACAATTGATAGATAGAAACACGGGAAATCAAAGAGAGAACGGAGTTGTAGTATCATATACATGTACAGATAGATAGATAGATAGATAGATAGATAGATAGATAGATAGATAGATAGATAGATAGATAGATAGATAGATAGATAGATAGATAGATAGGTATACAACATAATGTAATATATACATATTATTAAGCTCATTTAGGAGGCTGTCTGCTTTGGTCCTTCTTGTGGGGTACACAGTAGAAGAAAAGAGGAGATACTCGAAATAAAGTAATCCCAAAGAGGGAATCAAATGAATGTACTTTTTCCTTTCAAGAAGAAGAGCTTTGCCTTCATTCTGCGGTCACGCTACAGCATTAAACCACAAACTTGTCAAATTCATATTCTCTGTGAGGTAAATCAGAAAACTAGGTTCAGACCAATGAAAGAGTTTTAGAAATGATATATCTAAAATGTTGAATTTAGTGTATGACGAGGTCTGCCCAAAATTAAGTTTGTGGGTGGTTGGCATGTGTTCTGGTGTGGTTTGCTTCTCCTTTCTTATCAAACATCTATCATCTTTATCTCCCCTACTTCTTCTTTTTGTTTGTTTGTTTCTCTCTTGTAACACCTCTAATCTTCAGAACTTCCATGACCTTACTATGTTGCAAGTGCTGTAAAACACTTAGTAAAATAAACTAAAACAAGAGGTAAGTTTCGTTGTTCTGCAAAATCAACACTCTTATATACGCATTAAAATGTGTGCATGCTTAGAAAAACATGTTTTCTATTCGGCATAATAACCGTAGATCTCAACGCTCTTTTGTTTCTGTTGTAACCAGCTGTCAAACACAGCGATCATGTCCGCTTTGGCCAGATAAGTCCTTGCCGCTGCATTTATTTCGAGCACGATTTCTCTCTGGTCGCCTGGCAGTGGGAAGTCCGTGAATTCCTCCTGCTCTTTCCCAGACTTAACACCACATAACTTTCATTTTAATGTTTCCCAAAAATTGAAGAA